ATTATAATGTAAAATAAGCAGCAGAGGTTAGTCAACCCTTTATGTGCTTTCTGACGTAGAAAGGGGCTGTATCTATGCAGCTCTGTTCACTCTCTTTTGAAGCTCATTATCATAATTTGAAAAATTCCACCTCTACACAGAATCACCCACGGGCTTTGCAGCTTTCTTTGTGCTGTTGGTGTCTCTCCTGGGACAAGGATGGTAGCTACTACTTCAGTGTAGCTACTGGGTGGGCAGAGTGAGCGTGGCTGTGAATGAGTGAGAATGGCATTGCCTGGGGTGCTGGGTACACCAGAAAATGCACTGAATTTTACATGCTGATGAAAAAGGAGGAGGGGTTTGGGCAGGCAGACCCAGAATTTAGACCCTGACATCTCTTCCCGAACTCACTAGCTCATTGTTTCATCTGAGTTTTCTCAGTGGAATGTTAATATACACGATTGCCTCCCCTTTCAAGCTGCAGTTCTGGGAATTTGCTTGTTGGCTATGGCAGGAGCGATGGAGAAGTGGTTCTGCCCCGTGGCTGTGTTGTGTGGTGTGTTACAAGGCTGTGTGACTTTATGTGACTTTCTCTATGGATCTCTCAGCAGAGAGTGCTGTGGAGTAAGTAATCCTGTGGTATTCTGGATGGAAAGCAGGACAGCATTTGACTATATAGAATCAAATACTAAGAAAAGTATTCAGAGGCCTTCTTTGTATTTCTGCAAGGAGCCACATTCCTGAATTGGTACCCAAGAATTGAAAAAAAAAAAAAAAGTAGGTGTGCAATACATCACATTTACTAATGCATTAGAGATATTTATATGAATAATTAAAACACCATTTAGAATTGACACAGTAATAGAACAAAATGTGTTTTGTCACTTTTCTGTTCCTTTTTGTTGATTGATTAATTTATTGATTTCTTCCATAAATTTGGAGTAGGTATTCTAGACATTACTGTAAATTAGCAAGACTGTGCTTTTTAATAAGCTGTTGAAAGCATTAATGGAATGAAAAGAAGTCAGAATTTGGTAATAAAGATCTGAGAAACAGAGATCTAGAACATATATCTAGTGTTTTGCTTCAAATAGGTTTGTAAAATATTAGAGCCTTTGTTTGTCCCACCTGTTAATTAAAAAAAAAAGAAAGTATTTTATATTCATTATGAATAGCCAAACAGCACATCAGAAAAAAGGGGAAAATTAGGCAACAAGCTACCTTAGACTTTCCATTGTATTTATAGTTAACTTTAGGCTGGTTGAAGTCAGTGGGAACATGTGTGGGATGGAGGACAGAACTTCACTGTTAAAGAGACCACAGTCCTTTTGAAACCATGTGTGAAAAAAGGAGTAAACTTCTGAAACTGAGGTCTGGAAAACAGACAGGTGTTATCCAAGATACCAAGAATTAGGAATTGTATTAAATTTCATGCACATATGCACACAAAATATTTGTGTATTTATCAGTTCAGATTTCTTCTGGTTTATAGATTTGATTTTTTCCTTATTATTTATGTTTAGTTTATTAATCTGTTTTGTCATATTTTTTTCCTACCTTCAAAAAAACCTGCTTTATGAATATGCTAGAATGCACACTTAACAAGAACCCTTAACAACTTTAAAGTCAGTATTGTTCTGATTCCTTTTCAGGGCTGTGTTTCTCTGTTTTCCAGCTACAATGGACAATTTGTTGTAACACTTGGTTTGGCATCATATGTTTTGTTTGGTACCGTTGTTGTAGCCATGTTTGGAATATGTATTTTCATAGGCATTTTTGGGGGCAGTTCTGGATGCCATCAGAGGCTTGTACTTCTGCCTCCCATCCACTGGTAATGTCCAGACTTCACTTAGGAGAAAGAGGTGAGCTGGCAATAGCCACAGTCTGTTAGTCTGGGTTTTAGCTCTGATTTGAGGGAATGGTTACTGCTCCAGGCTTAATTTGAGGTGCCTTACTCTGTTGCCCTAATACAAAATAAGTGTTAGAAACTGCTGCACAAGGGGATATAGAATATCTCAATATGGAAAGTGCTGCATGAAATCATTCCACTTACTGTTACTGGTTGTCACACCAACAGTGACTATAAATGAAGGCTATTAGAGGGGGAAAAAATCATATTATTTCAGTTAGTTTATTTTGTGCATACTTGACAGCCCTCTGTCTATAGTTAGTTACATGATTTCTTGGGATAGACGGATTTCTCTTTATTCGTGCGTGGCTCTTTCAGCTATGGGGGAAAGAAAATACTTAAGGATCAGAAAATGTGTCTATAAAGCCAGGAGCAATTGTCTGCAACCTCAAGAAGATATCTCAAAGGATGTAACTGCTTTTTACTCATCTTCCAAAAGCAGCTCAGTTCCGGAATAACAGTGCTCTTTTGGGCTATATTTCGAGATGGTATGATTATTCTCAGACAGGAATTATAAGGATCGATAGCAAACCCAACACATCCTTTCTTTTCATGACAGATTCACTGATTGCCACCAGAGCAGTAATAATGCACTGGTCAGCATAAACAGCAGAAGCAGTAATCATGGATTTTTGTCTCCATCTTAACATGTGTTTAAGGTTACACAATTTGTTGTGATGGCTTTGCACCCACAGGTCGTGAGGAAGGAGAATTGTTTGATCTGTTCAGCTTCCCTTCTCTTTTACTTTTACGCTTCCTCCTTGAGTTGGGGCTGGGCTGTTTGGTGTCTCTCCAGGAACAGAGCAGAGAAAGCATGCCTGTCCAAAAAGATAAGAGAAAGGTCATTTGGAGATACCAGTGGTTTACAAGGTGCAGGTTTTCTTTGTATATCCTGCTTAGGAAGTAGTAAAGACCAGGATTTTCCATGAGTATGTGTCAGGAGCCCTTCTGCATTGGGGTTTTGGTGGAGCTGAGTGCAAGGTTGCTTTTCCTCAGTGGAGGGCCCTGTGCTTTTGCTGTGTTTTGGCAGCTTGACACGGCAGTGGATAGGTAACCTATGCGTATGAGTTTCAGGTTTTATTTTTGTTTTTTTATGTGTCGTCCTCAATTTACTGAAACTCTGTGACTTTTTAACCTGCTGTCTGTAGGCCGTTGTTTTACAAGCTCATTAAGGTGGCGAGGATAGCGATGGCAGCGATCCTGCCCCCCTCATGGGTGCTCATTAGATGGCTTCCTTGTGCTGACATAAGCGTTGTGTAGTCATGCTCTGAGCTGGGTCTGGGAAAGGATCCAAGTTAAAAATAATCCCTAAAAAAAAAAGAAAGAAAAAAAAAAAGGTAAGTTTTCAGCAGAATCTGTTCCTGGATCTAGCTTGCCATCATTCTCATGCTGGCCTGGAAAGCGTGAGGGTTTGTTCTGGCACAGAGGGGGGTGAGGAGGAGCAGCTGGGGCAAGGTGGTCAGGGGTGTACTGCTGGCAGCAGGGATGCTGCCTGCTTGCATGATGTCAGCCTGAGGAAATGGGGTTCTTGTGAGTGTGCTGCCTCTCTTTCCTTAAATGCATCGGCCCACTAACTTCCACAGTTGTGAGGCGGTTTTGGCCAAATTTGCCTGAAATGCAATGTTGAAGGGGTGAAGGTCCCCTGACCTCAGCAATTTATGGTGTCTGATAGGCAGACCCAAATCAACTCTCCCCAGTGACCAAAAGTTGTCATCTGGGGCTCAGCTGCTGACCTTGCCAGGCCTTCTCTTGTGGCACAGTCCCACTGTCCCAGTCTGGGTTGAATTGTGCCCGTTTTGCCGTGGGGCCAGCTGTTGAATAGCTGATGGGAGAAGAGCACAAAGTGCTCTCTGGGAATGGCCGTTCATTTCAAGGGGCAGGGACGGTTTGTCTCCTGACTGCACAGGGAGCTGCATTTCCAGTTGTGGGGTGGTTTTTAAATTTGTTTTCTGTGTTAGTTTTGTTTTTTTTTAAATTCTGCCTAGGTATCAAAATTTCTGGAAACTGGGATAGAAGCAAGACTCCCTTCAGTTTTTTTGGTGTGGCCAACTGTTTAACCCTGAGGTCAAACAAGTGACAAACTAGCTGCACCTCTACATAGCTTCCCTTGACTATCTGGCAGCAACTTTGTGCCCTGCTCACTCCAGGTTCCAGTGTCATAAGGCTGTGCTCCTCTTTGGTGGATGTACCTGGGTTTCACCTGCCCAGCCTGCCCTGCTCCACGGGCAGCCTTGCTCTGCACCACTGCTGAGGAGCTAAGATGAAGACACACATTGTGGTTTCCTGCTGTTTTGCTTTGTAACCAGTCCACTGGTAAATATAGCTTGTGTGCGGTTATAAATTCATTCTCTCGTTATGGGTGGTTGTTGTGCAATAATTCTGTAGAAATTACAACCAAGAATTGTTGTGGATTTTTTGTTTTGTTTTGTTTATTTATTTATTTTTGTACTTGATATGCCCTGCAGTGAGAAGAGCAGGCTTTGGTTTCTGCCCTAACAAAGACAAGGCCACAAGCAGGTGTCAGCCTTTGGCATGAACACAGGCACCTTCTAGCAGGCTGCTGACTTTGTGTGGCTTTCTTTTGTGTGGCGAGATGAGCACTGCGAGGGAAATCGGGACATGTGCTATTTGGACACTTATTTTTTCTTGCTTTACTCTGTGGGGAGACAGGTTGTCCTTCCCTGCGGGTTTGGTGCTGCACATGTGTTTGTTCTGAAATGAACCTCTCCTGTCTCTCTGGAGGTGTTGGTTGTACATTTCGTGAAGCCCTTGTACCTCTGGCAGCTTCCAGCCCTGCTCTCTGGGCAGTCCTCTGGGTCCTGCTGCCGGGCTGAGGCCGTAGGGCCTGGAGTCTCTGGCCCCTGCAGAAGTGCTCAGGTTCTGCTCCCCAGAGGTCTTCCCTTCATATGTGGGCCCCCTCCCGTGATCCCTCCTTCTGTTCAGATGTGGAATTAAAAGAAGTGTGGGGGTTTTGTTGATTTTTTTTCCCCTCCTGTTTCTTTATTTAAAATTCCAGTCAAGCAGATCCAGAACAGTGCTGGTCCCTGCTGCGTTCTCATTTTCCTCTCATCCCTCCTTTAATTTTACATTATTCCCTGCACTGTGTTTGCAGGCCATATGTGTCCTTTGAACTCTGAAGAAGCTGTGCCAAAAGGAAGCCTTCTTCTCCTCCCCTCCTCCCATCGTGGAGCCGCTCTTAGATAATTGCAGTTAGCAGACAATGCGGAGCGAACGCAAATGTGAAGTTCGTGGGTGAGTGTCTGCAAATTTCCCGAGAGCTTCAGAAACGCTTGCGCTTGGTCTCTGCTTTTGCCCTTTAACCCTGCAGCGGTTCCCCGAGTCCGAAGCAGCTCTGGGAGGTGTCTGCAGCCCGCATTTTCCTCCCGCCGTTCCCGGCCAGGCACAGCCGCTGCCGAGGCCTTGGCAGGGAGCCGCGGCTCCGGCGGGGATCCTGCCCGGAGGGGAGGTGGAGCTGCCTGTCCTTGTCTTACGGCACGGGGGAATGGGGGCTCCAGGGGCGTGCTGTAGTAGGACAAGCCTTTCCTTCGACCCTGCTGACGGGAGGGGCGGGCAGGTTGCCTGCAGCAAGCTCTGACAGGAGTGGGAAAAGTAAAACTCACCCTGTTGAACAAGAAGTGGGAGAATTCCTTCTTGTCGTTCATGGGGTGTGGAGCAGAGGGACGGACGTGCTGCCGGGCCAGCTGCTGGTCAGGGGGCTTAGCATCAGCTGCTGGCTCGGCCAGAGGGATCGCTGCCGGGCTGGGATGTCCTGTTCAAAGGGGACGCTCTCCGTGAAGAAGGGTGACAAATGCCTTTTGTGTCCCCACCTCCTTTAGCCTCTGAGAAGTGTCTCCCGTGTTAAACCAGGTTTCTGACCTCATTTCTCAAAGGAGTTTTAAATGGGGAGAAATAGGAGTATTAATAAGTGCCCCGTTAAGTACTTGTAGTCAAGTATGATAATTTTCTTGAAAAGATAATGTATTAGATGAATAAAAATACTCTCCATTAAAAAATGAACACAAAGTCATTTTAAACCACAAAGATTATTGTACATTTCTGAAAAATTAATGTGATTAAAGCGAAATATATTTAATAAATTAAAAAGACCCTGTAAGGCTGTTTAACTTGTTGGTCTCATATTAATTATTTTCAAATCTCATGCTAGAGAACTTGGACCTTACCTGCAAGGATGGGAAGTGATTTCTTCCCTCACTTCATTTTTTGGCTCGTAATTATTAGGTCTGAGTTGTGAGTGTGTTGATTTTCCCTTGTTTTCTGAGGTTTTTTTTTTTGTTTGTTTGTTTGTTTTTGTTTTTAATATTGTGTTGGTTTGTTTGTTTTTGTTTTCTGATGTCTTTCCCAGAGACTGGCCACAGCAAAAAGCCAGACCCTAGACAGTGATCAGAAATTATATGGAGATTTCCTTGGTGGATTTAGTTAATGTGACCTACTCATGTACTGCTGTCTGGATTTGGAGCTGAGAAAACTCCAAATAGCTGAATATTATCAGGATATTTCCTCCTGTTTGGCTTGTCTGTGATGTGGTATAGATTGTGTCTGCTAGGATCACATAGACTTCCTTCAGTTACTTCATGTGACTTCACACAAGTTATATTAATTTTTTCCACACATAGTTTGCCCCTTAGATTATTTTTGGTTTAGGAACTTCCTGAACTCTCTACTGAGCTTTCACATGTTCAGCTACTTAATGAGAATTGCTCTGTATGTTGTGGAAGGCAATAAAGTAAATGGTTGGAGTTGGAGACATAACACAGATCTATGTGTTTGCCTGGTCATTTGTGAAGTTTATGCATTGACTTTGGGAGGACATAAGAAGCTCATTGTAAAACTGGGTTTAAATAATAGTCTGTTTAAAAAACTTCAGGTTTTGTGGCATTAGGAATGAAGGCACTTCCTCCCCAGTCTCATCAAAAACGTTGCAAGTATTTTATCCTCTCTTGCTTGGCATATTCTCTTGTTAGGGGGTATCTACAGGACAGGTATGTGGTGTGTGATTCTACCCAAACTTGTGTTCCCTGTAACACGTCTGTGGTATAAATTCAGAGAATGCTAGCAGTCAGTTCTTAAGGTCTCCTCGTTTACAATTTGTTATGATTTAGGTGCCTGAAATCCATGTGACCTTTTGAAAATATTCCTCCAACAGACTGGAAAATAGAAGAGAATTTGGGTACCATACAGTGTTCTCTCAGATGCCTTCTAAACTTTCAGGCTATTTGATAATGTGAGTGCCATTTTTTTTTTTTTTATTTAAGGCACATTTTTAAGTACTCTCTATCTTTAAGAAGACAGCCTTTGCTTCTGATTCTCCACCCTTGCATTTTGCTTTCAGCTTTTCTCTTCTTATCCTGTTGCAGCTTTGACAAGCTTATGCAACTGAGGTGATGATAGCTTCCTCGATTTCTGTTATATCTAAAGGTGCTTCTCTCAGCAGAGCCCTTACAGACTACACATGTGAACAAGAGAAAGATATTTTACTTGCCTTTAGGACATTAGAAGAGCCTGCAGTGGCTGGATAATTGACTACTGAAAGCCTTGAGACATTTCTTCTTTTGTTTGAGGAGGTGGTGGTGGCTGGGGCTCCTTGGTGGTGTATACAAATAGCTCTGGAATTCAAGGAGGGTGTTGTCTGTGTTAAATGGTGCTCACATAAATGTATGGGAGTTGTTACTCTGTTGTTACTATACCAAGTGCATCCCAGGATGAAGGGTCTCTACTGCCATAATGTTTAAAAGTATGATTATTAGTCTTTTCTGGTCTTAAATGATACCAAATCTGTCCCCTGAAAATTACCTTGAAAATCCTCTTAGTACAAGCGATCTCATTTTCAAAGCCACCTCTTCAGGTTACAACTAAACTAAGCACCCAACTGGCTGCCTGTTGTGGCTGCTGCAATGACACCCGCAGGCGTGGCCGTGTGGATGTCCCTGTGCACAATCCATTTTGCGTGGTTCCCACTGTGCTGGTTGGCTTCCCTTGTTGTTTGTATGTAATTTCCTCACCACTCACAGAGGACACAGTCAGACTTTTTAATATTATGACACTGCAGCTATAAATCTGTCAAAACTGCAAGGGCATAACAAAGAGTAGATCTGACCGATGGCTGTTACCTTTTTCTTTGCATTTCCCTGGAATTCTAGCTGACAGCGGCCCTTAATATAAATTCATTATTTGCAAGGAGCTCTGTTTAAGCTAGCAAATTATTGTGCCAATGTGTGACACTAACCATACTGCAGAATGAAGAGCGGTGAAGCATTTATGATGCTAAAATAATTTCAGGTCATGTCTTTTTTTTTTTTTTTCTTTTTTCTTTTTTTTTTTTTGTGTAGTTTTGCTTTTATTACTAGTGCTGAAATGGTTCTTGCAGCACAAGTGAGAAAACCAGACTGAACCTCCTGTTTTTTTGTTGGGCTCCCAGCTGGAAATCCCTCCCTCGATTTTCCATTGATAAAAGTGTCACAAAGGGAATCCAGAGCAGAGGAATAGGCGGAAATAGAACAATGCAAAGTCTTGGACTTGAATCACAAAGAAAGTTAACTAATGTAGAAATGGTACTGGATGAGCTGCTGCTCCTTTCATGACCAGGTTCATTTACCTGTGGTCTTAGCATTTGTGGCTGCCCTCAAAGCTGTGTAACAAATCAGCTATTTATTCTCTTTTCTGTGGAGGCTCTTTAAAAGGATATTGCAGAGCATTTTCTTCTCCTCCTTCCTATGGACTGCTTTATTTGACCTTCAAGAATACAGAGTCTCAACAGGGGCTGGAAAACTCGCATACAAGAATGCTTTTATTGTTAATCTATAAAACATGTCTTTCACTAATAAAATAAGGATGTGACATTTATAGAGCTCTGATAAGGAACATGGCAGTGGAAAAGGCCCAGGTCTCCTGCTGTTTAAATTAAGGGCAGCTGATTTCAGGGAGAGAAGAACCAGGCTTGTTAAATAAGCATTTTAACACGTGCATTCAGGTGTTCCCATGATGCTCAAAAAACTTCCAGGAGTATTTTGCAAGAATTGAGAAGTTACACCATAGAGAACTTCATTCATTTAAGTGACTGAAAGTAATTGGTACTCCTTCAGAGTTTTTTGAGAGGGAAGATTACTTGAGTTTAGTTTCATTAATTAGTTGGTTAAGGGTATACTTTTCCTGGACTTTCTTAGCATTGTATCACTAAAAGAGTGGCTTCTGTATTGCTGCTGTGTTTGACCTTTGAGTCAGGGTGAAAGAGCTGATACCATGACGTTTGCCAGTGTCTCTGTGGTCACCTCCCTGTCACGTGCCGTAGGTGGGGGTCTGCATGCAATGGTGTGACGGAGGGGCTTGGAAGCCCCTGTGGAAGACAAGTGGTGCATGTCTTGTGCTGAGGGCAGCAGGGAGTGCGATGGTCTGTGACAGAAGCGCAGTCCTGAGTGAGGCAGTGACCCGCTTTGCTGCAGTGGGAGCAGCAGGTGCTCAGCACCCCACACCAGTGCGCAGCACATGGCTGTTGCAGACCTGGATCTCTTGAGCTTTGCTGAGAAGTACTGTGGTTGTCCTCTGGTATACCATCCCATGTGAAAGACTAAGCCTTGCTCTTGTCTTTCCCTCCTGTTCTGCTCCGCTCTTTTCCCCCCCCCTTTTCCCCTTTTCCTGTCTTTCTTAAACCTGCCAAAATGAGATACCCACACACTGAAGTCTGTTTCCTTGTTCTGATGGTTTATTGTGTTGGGGTAACAAGAACATGCACAGTTATTGAAGTGTGGAATGATAATATAGCGGGTTATGTAATGAGCAAATAACTGGGATATGCTTGGCCTCTCCATATGTTACTCAAGGGTAAGAAGGAAAATACGCAGAATAGTGAGTGTACGAGAAGAAAGACTGGACATAGTGTTTGGATTTACTGGACATTTCAAAGCTCTTTCTCTGACCCTGTAAATCAAAGTGGTTATATTTTGTGCTGGGTTTGTTTTTTTTTATTTAATTATTATTGGGCCACCCTTCCTTAAAGCCGAAAAAAGATATGCAGCAGGCAGAACCACTTTAAGTTGAAAACCAAGTAAGAATAAATCATGGTGTGCTACCTTAAAAATGCTATTAAGAAATTGCTTTCCAGTGAAGCATACTGAAACCTAGGAGTAGTAACTGCTTTAAGTGATACAATTTATCTAGCATTTTGACAGTGCAGGAGTTTTTTCTTCTTGTCACTGTAAAAGTCAGTAAAGTTTTGTTTCTTACTGCCTCCACTCTGC